ACGCGGTCCCTTCACATGAACTATGTGAGTGTTGGTTAAAAAGTTTTATGAGTTTTTCTGGATAATTTGCAGTATTTTGAAATCATATCAATTTTCCTTTATTATCTACAAAAAAGCACAACTACAGAAACTTTTTCTTAATGGTAACTAAATGAAATGCTTCATATTTTTTAAAACTCATCCTTTAGGAAAGATTTGGGTTAGATCTTCACAAAAACAAGTCTAAAAGTGAACTTCGGACAGAAACAATTGGTTTGTGCCTGATTCTTTGCTTTGACTTGTTTTAGTTTAAACCACGTCAACTCCCTTACCTTTTCAAATTTAACATGTTAAAGGTGTGGAACACTGAAAAACTATTTTTCAAACAAGTTTTCAATAGTACGCCAGTTATTGCAACCGTTGGCTGCACAAAAAACGGGCATAGTTTGCTCTGCATTGACTTTAGAGAGAGAGGAGACCCATCCAATATGGTGGCGATGCTGTTATGCTCTCCAGCGCTCAGTGGGACATCTACATATTCATGTCTATGGTACACAGCTGTTATCCAATCCAAAATAAGACTCCATTTCCTGCCTTCTGAAGCTCAGCTGTGATGTGGCTCACTTCTAGTTCCTGGAAATGGTGCACCAGTTTTTACCTCCCCCAAATACGACTAACAAGGTATTAATTCCTACTAGAGACCGCTGCAATACCCATAACAATGCTTTGATTTTCTGGTTAGGTTTATGCTAATGAAAGGTTTTCATACAGCTAATTTAATAATATAGAATTTAAAGTTATAGAACATTTTTGCTCTCTCTCTCTCTCTCTCTCTCTCTCTCTCTCTCTCTCTCTCTCTCTCTCTCTCTCCTCTCTCTCTCTCTCTCTCTTCTCTCTCTCTCTCTCTCTCTCTCTCTCTCTCTTCTCCTCTCTCCTCTCTCTCTCTCTCTCTCTCTCTCTCCTCTCCCTCCCTCCCTCCCCTCCCTCCCTCCCTCCCTCCCCCCCCCCCCCTTTGCTCTTGCAGATGGTCCCTGTGGGCTTGTCTTTCAATCCAGAGTGAATAACCCAGCACAGAGATGAATTTAGATGAAAATTAAGCCGTATCTCATTATCTCTGTTACAATGTTGGACAGAGACATTGTTTGGGTTTTCACAATGTGAAATTTATACTTGCAAATTTGAATCTCATAGAATACTATTATTTCTGAGACTGGCTGTTCATCGGGTATAGCTAACCAATATGTGCATCTCCATGAAATATTTCTACTCAGAGAGAAATCGGATTTCAAATCTCTGTTTGGTGCTTCTACAATTCCAAGTAGATACTTGAATGTTTGTGTTTCCCATATCAGAAGAATAGAAGAACGTCTTGGAGAGAAAAGTAGGGGTTTTTAGCTATTGTTTCTCACCATAGAAATGGCCAGTCTTTTCCTAGATGGATTGATGCCTGAAGAGGGGACAGTGTGGAGCCTAACACTGTACTGGGCCTGTGGTTAGAGATAGAAAGCAGGTAAAGGAAGAGAAAGAGCAGACAGAAGTAGAGGAAAACAACAAGATGCCAGGGCTTTAGTTTGCAAGGTACAAGCATGTTTCTTCTTCTGTGTTTGCTTTCCCAACTGATCCAGCAAATGAATGGAATTGGAGGAGTAATGACAGAGTTACAGTGATTTTATGCGGTGCTCTGCTAAGAGAAGAATGGAGGTTAATGAGATGACAACCCCTTTTCCACCTAACATGCCACCTCCTTCTTCACACCGCCCTTCACTGACAAGCATATTATACACAAAACCCTTACGAGAGTGGGACTGAAGGCTGGCATTGAGACAAAAACAAAAAACACCCATCTAAGGTCAGAAATAAGCTCTATATGTAAGTCAATTTGCCTTCAAAAAGTGAAAAACTATGTAGAAATACATCATTTCCCATTTGTCTCCATACAAGAGACGATTATGATGACATGCTTGTTAATAGCGCTAGTAATTTTCATGGCACAATGAATGTTGATTGTGAGAGGCCTTCATTCAACCAAGATAATGAAGAGCAATTTATGGTATTTTAATGAGAAAAGTCTTCAGTAAGCGTATAGTCCAAATGAGGATGTAATAATCATATAACAGCAAATGTTAGGGATACAGCAAACATGGTTCATCATGTTGGTAAAGCCATTTTGTGTTCCAAATTATTCAAATGATAGAAAATTTAATTAATTTAAACAAAATCAGAACAAGCAGAAACGTTGTGAAATTAACATGCATTGTTTTCTATGTTTCATTTTGTATCCAGATTGAGAACGATAACCGGATTGGTGCTGCATCTGCAGTGATGTGGGCATTGTACCGGACTGTTGTGGTGAAGAAAGAGCTGAGCCAGAAGGCAAAGCTCTCAATTTACCGGTCAATTTACGTTCCAACTCTCACCTATGGTCAAGATCTTTGGTTAGCGACCCCAAAGAAGGAGATTGCGGATACAAGAGGTCCCAGGGTATCTGGACTCTCCCATTGAGATAGGGTGAGAAGCTCGTTCCTACGGGAGGGGTTTGAAGTAGATACACTGTTTCTCCACAAAAAGAAGAGCCAGTTGAGGTGGCTTGGGCATCTGGTTAGGACACCTCCCTGGTGAGTGTTGGACACACTGGAGGGACTATGTCTCTCGGCTGGCCAAGGAACGCCTTGGGATTCCTTCCGGAGGAGATGGCCCAAGTGGCTGGGAAGAGGGAAGTCTGGGCCTCTCTTCCAAGGCTACTGCCCCCGTGACCCGACTCTGGATAAAGGGATGAAAATGGATGGACGTTGTATCCAAATATGGAACTAAAGGTCAACCACCCGCAGTCTTTAAAAGTATCATTGTTGTAATTAAATCTACTGCTAAACAAATAGGTGACCATGCAGCAACATTGTGAGAAATACACATACACCTGGAAATAGTTTTCAAATCAGGACACTGGCCTATTGAGATTGACAGACCACGTGACTTACGCGTGGTGCATTGTAGGAAATGAGGACGGAGGGAGATTTAAAAACCCGGAAGACACAGTTTTTCTCTGTTGGGCTTGGTGTTTACATCTCCAAACAGTCCTTCTGCGGTGTAAACTAGCAAAGGAATTTAACCTCTCTTAATTCACAAGGATGTATAAAATGAAGGAGACTGCTCCCGGTCCATACAAAGACAGGCTCCACGCAAAATCTAGAGAAAGGTACGAGGAGAAGATCAAAGGATTAAATGGGTTAGAGCCCTACGAACACAAAGACTGGAGCAAAGTGTCACACCCGGTCATGTCTCCCCGTTTAGTTCAGCCTTGTGTCTCGTTGATTACTCCCACCTGCCTCTCGTTTCCCAATCACCTTAGCTCCCAACCCTCCTGTATTTAAACCCTGTCTGTTCTTTGTACTGTGTCGGATCATTGTTTCATTGTCCAGCGTGCTTCAGTATTACAACCCTTTGAATGTGCTCACCTGTCTGCCTGTTTTCCTGCTCCGCATTGGATCCTCATCTCAGCTCCGTTCCTCTCAGCAGCGCGCTGACAGAATGATCCGACCCACACCCGTTGTGAGATCCAGCGAGGAGATTCTCCCATGGGAGCACCTGCTTCAGTGGCTCACTCCGAGCCACCACCCAGCTTCTCCATCGCCTTCCCCTGCTTCAGTTCTGCCTCACCGAAAACGCCGTCCTCGGCCATCAGCCGCAGCAATCCTCGCTGCTCTCCCGGAACCGGACGAGGGGTCGGACCGGGAGCCGCTTCCGGATCGCTCCAGCTTCGTGGGCACCCGCCTGGCTGTGTGCTCCCCGGGAGTTGGCCCACGGCGTGGGGAGGCATGCCGGGCTCCACCGCAGCGGCTGGTCCCTGGACGGAGCCGCGAGCTCGCTGCAGTTCTGGCTCAGTGCGCAAACTTGGACACGCCCCCAGTCAGACCAGCAGTCCCGTCTCCGGTCCAACTAGCGCCTTCGTCATCTGCAGGCGGAGGAACCACGCCCACAGCCCAGCTGATGGAGCTCCAGGCGGAGCTTGACCGGATCCGCCAGTCAGCCTCCAGGAGAGTCACCTGGACACTCTATCCTCCCCGAACCGCCAGGAGAGGAGTGAGCCCGTCCACCCAGCGGAGCTCGCTGGTCTCCGGGCTGAACTGGCCCAGCTCCATCGAACCCTCAACCTCCAGGAGCTTCAGCTGGACGGGCTGTCCCCCCTGCTCTCACGGCTTCCAGCCCTACCAGTTCCACCACTTCCAGTCCAGCCTGTCCAGGCAGCCCCTCCTGCAGCTGCCTCGCCTCCACTCCAGAGGGCCCAGAAGCAGAAGGGACGGGCTCAGAAGCAGAAGGGATGGGCCCAGAAGCAGACGGTTCCGGTTCTGGCCCCGAAGCGGACGGGTCGGCCCCAGCAGTCGGCGGTCCAGCAGTCGGCGGTCCAGCAGTCGGCGGTCCAGCAGTCGACGCCCCCGGACCAGAAGTCGACGCCCCCGGACCAGAAGTCGACGCCCCCGGACCAGAAGTCGACGCCCCCGGACCAGAAGTCGACGCCCCCGGACCAGAAGTCGACGCCCCCGGACCAGAAGTCGACGCCCCCGGACCAGAAGTCGACGCCCCCGGACCAGAAGTCGACGGTCCAGAGGTGGACGGTCCAGAGGTCGACGGTCCAGGGCTCTGTGGCCGACGCCCCTGCCAGTCCTGTGGCCGACGCCCCTGCCAGTCCTGTGGCCGACGCCCCTGCCAGTCCTGTGGCCGACGCCAGTCCTGTGGCCGACGCCTCTTCCTCGTGTTCTGAAGTCGACGCCTCTTCCTCGTGTTCTGAAGTCGACGCCTCTTCCTCGTGTTCTGAAGTCGACGCCTCTTCCTCGTGTTCTGAAGTCGACGCCTCTTCCTCGTGTTCTGAAGTCGACACCTCTGATGACGTCGCCTGTCCAGAAGTCGACGCCTCTAATGACGTCGCCTGTCCTGAAGTCGACGCCTCTGATGACGTCGCCTGTCCAGAAGTCGTCGCCCCTGATGACGACGTGTCCGAAGTCGTCGCCCCTGATGACGAAGTGTCCGAAGTCGTCGCCCCTGATGACGACGTGTCCGAAGTCGTCGCCCCTGATGACGACGTGTCCGAAGTCGTCGCCCCCTCCTCTGATGACGACGTGTCCGAAGTCGTCGCCCCCTCCTCTGATGACGACGTGTCCGAAGTCGTCGCCCCCTCCTCTGATGACGACGTGTCCGAAGTCGTCGCCCCCTCCTCTGATGACGACGTGTCCGAAGTCGTCGCCTCCTCCTCTGATGACGACGCCTCCTCCTCTGATGACGTCCCGTCTGATGACGTCGCCTCCTCCTCTGATGACGTCGCCTCCTCCTCTGATGACGTCCCGTCTGATGACGTCGCCTCCTCCTCTGATGACGTCCCGTCTGATGACGTCGCCGCCACGTCCGATGACGCCCCGTCTGATGACGTCCCGTCTGATGACGTCGCCTCCTCCTCTGATGACGTCCCCGAAGTCGGCTCGTCTGACGACGTCGCCGCCTCCTCTGATGACGTCCCCGAAGTCGGCTCGTCTGACGACGTCGCCGCCTCCTCTGATGACGTCCCCGAAGTCGGCTCGTCTGATGACATCGCCGCTGCCTCGTCCTCTGGAGTCGGCTCGTCCGATGACATCGCCGCTGCCTCGTCTGGGGATGCTCTTTGCACTCAAGAGGCCGACGCTCCATCCAGCCCGGCGTCTCCACGGTCTCCGGTTCCGATGGTGGTTTTGAGGGCAACGCCGGCCCAGCCTGCAGTGACTTTGTCGCCGGCCCAGCCTGCAGTGACTTTGTCGCCGGTCCAGCCTGCAGTGACTTTGTCGCTGGCCCAACCTGCAGAGCTCCTCTTCTGCCGCAGGCGCCGGCCTCCAAGGGCCCGTCGCCTCCTCATCTGCCGCAGGCGCCGGCCTCCAAGGGCCCGTCGCCTCCTCATCTGCCGCAGGCGCCGGCCTCGAAGGGCCCGTCGCCTCCTCATCTGCCGCAGGCGCCGGCCTCCAAGGGCCCGTCGCCTCCTCATCTGCCGCAGGCGCCGGCCTCCAAGGGCCCGTCGTCTCCTCCTCTGCCTCAGACGCCGGCCTCCAAGAGCCTGTCGTCGCCTCCTCCTCTGCCCCTCTGCTGGTCCCTCTGTTCCTCTGGGCCCTTCCTCCTGGTTCCCCTCCTCCCACCCTGCTCCTCGTTCCTGTGGGCGTCTGGGATCCGCCCCTTGAGGGGGGGGGGGGGGGGGGTACTGTCACACCCGGTCATGTCTCCCCGTTTAGTTCAGCCTTGTGTCTCGTTGATTACTCCCACCTGCCTCTCGTTTCCCAATCACCTTAGCTCCCAACCCTCCTGTATTTAAACCCTGTCTGTTCTTTGTACTGTGTCGGATCATTGTTTCATTGTCCAGCGTGCTTCAGTATTAAAACGCTTTGAATGTGCTCACTTGTCTGCCTGTTTTCCTGCTCCGCGTTTGATCCTCATCTCAGCTCCGTTCCTCTCAGCAGCGCGCTGACACAAAGACGTT